TGACCTGAGCCGAAGTTGGATGCTTAACCAACTGAGCTACCTAGGTACTCCATGTAATACAGTATTATATTAACTATAGTCACTATACTGTACATTCTATTTCTATGACTTATTTTATAATAATTGTTATTTTTATTTTCTGACTTTAGTCCAGTGTATGATGATTAATATGAGTATTGCTTTGTTAGAAGCATGCAGCTTTGTATACATATTTTGGGTGGCTGGAATTTTTCCTGCTGCTCTGGGCTAAATTAGTGTATTTTACACACCCATATCTTTCCCTCCTGCCCCAACTCCTCTTTAGAAGAAACCCAGCAAAGGGACACATAAGTGGCTCAGTTAAGCGTCCGACTTCAGCTCAGGTCATGATCTTGTGGTTTGTGAGTTTGAGCCCCTCTTGGGGCTCTGTGCTGACAGCTCAGAGCCTGGAGCCTGCTTCAGATTCTGTGTCTCCCTCTCTCCCTACCCCTCCCCCATTCGCACTCTGTGTGTGTGTGTGTGTGTGTGTGTGTGTGTGTGTGTGTGTGTGTCTCTCTCTCTCTCTCTCTCTCTCTCTCTCTCTCTCTCTCAAAGATAAACATTAAAAAAAAATTTTAAAAAAGAAGAAACCCAGCAAATAAGTAAGGTTAATGCAAAGTTTTCTAATCATATTTCTGGTAAGGGAGGGATAAATGAATGTAAATAATCAGATAACTTTGAGTGTCATTCTATGTAAATATTTATAAACCTAAAATGGTGTTTTGGGATGAAACTGGCTTCCAAGATTTTTTTTTTTTTAATATTTCTTTATTTTTGAGAGAGAGAGACAGATTGTGAGCCAGGAGAGAGGCAGAGAGGGAGACAGAATCTGAAGCAGGCTCCATGCTCTGAGCTGTCAGCACAGAGCCCACTGCAGAGCTCGAACCCACAAACCATGAGATCATGACCTGAGCCAGAGTCGGGTGCTTAAATGACTGAGCCACCCAGACGCCCTGCCACCTCAAGATTTAAAATCAATTACCATGAACAAATCCTGTAACTCTCATGAATCCCGTTATCCATATCTGTAAAGCAGAAATGATACCTATTTTGCAAGGGTATGAGGATCAGAAATAACCTGTTGAAAGCACCCGCTATAATAGTCAGTACATTAGTAGAGGCTTAAGAAATGGTCATTTTTCTTCATAATCTTCAGACTTTTATTCTCTTCTACTTCTTTTTAGGTGGTATCTTGAATGGTGAAAGCAGATTCATTTTTCATCTGTAGATTTGCAATAGTGTCCATGGCTTTAATTTATGGGGCATTCTCACGGGAATCCCAAATAGTTTGAGATTAGGTGACTACTATTTGAGTTCCAGTTTACTTTCATTTCAAGATTTAAATAAATGTTATCTATCCTTTTTATAAGAGAAAAATCAAAATGATAGGAAAATTGTGACTAGTCTTCACTCAGTTTTATGACCTCTCTTGCTGTTCATGTCTTCTAGAAGGTTTGGCTCAGAATTTGGTGAAATCATTTGTGTTTTGACTGTATTATCATCTTCATTTAGGTCATTGCTGTATTCAAGAATGTGTTTAGTTCAAATTCCAGCCCATACATGGGAACCAGACTATTTCACATCACTCCCTATGATGTTCAGGTGAGGCAAGCAGGATAATCCTCTATTCTTTTATAATTTTCTATGATTTTCTCTGCTCCCACTACTAGGCACACTTGTAAAACCTCACTGGCATGTGTTTTTCAGCTGGGCTACTCAGTCCTCTCCCGTGGCAGTTACGCTCCTCTCCTGTCTCGCCATCCACTGTCACTCCTGCACCAATCATTACAGTCTCTGGAGTCAGTTATGAAGTGTGTGCAGATGAGTTGGATGGTCATCCTTGTGGGGCCAGCCTCTGTGGGCAAGACCAGCCTGGTGCAGCTCCTGGCACACCTTACTGGTCACACGTTAAAGATCATGGCTATGAACAGTGCAATGGACACTACGGAGCTTCTAGGTGGATTTGAGCAGGTAAATGGTCTGCCTTCACATTTGCAGGCAAAACATCTCTAATGCCATGGTCTGATTGATGGTCTTTTGTGTTGGTGAGTACAAATAGGATTATTCTTTTTTTAAGTAATCTCTGTACCCAATGTGGGACTCGAACTCATGACCCCAAGATCCAGAGTCACATGCTGTACCAACAGAGCCAGCCAAGCATCCCCTACCCCAACCCCCCAACCACTTTTTTTAATTTAAAGGAGTGTTCATTTGACTCTGGCCAGTGGCTATGATGAGTTTTTGTGCTCTGGAAATTGCAGGTTGATCTTATACGGCCATGGAGGCAGCTGCTAGAAAAGGTGGAAGGCACTGTAAGGGCACTTTTAAGAGACAGCCTCCTTATCAGTGCTGACGACGCAGAAGTAGTGCTGCGAGCCTGGAGTCATTTCCTTCTGACTTACAAACCCAAGTGTCTTGGAGATGGTGGTAAAGGTATCACGATGGAGATTGTCAACAAGCTGGAAGCAGTATTATTGCTTATGCAGAGACTCAACAATAAAATCAACTCCTACTCCAAGGCAGGTATGTGTGTTTGGATGTGTATCAGATACATAGTATTGTGCGTATAGTGTCCATATATAGGTAGTAATACATTTGTAATGTAATGTCTGCAATTTTTTATTAATGTAATAGTTATTAACAAAACTTGAAAATCTTTGTTTTAGAAAGTAAAATGAAGCTGATGTAAAATAATTCAGAATTGATGATCCTAAGCAAAGCAAAAGTAACAAAGAAATTGGTTAGTGAGTTTGATAGTTTATATTGTATGTGATCAGCTATAATGGTAAATCATTTGCATCTAAAGTTGGTTGTATTTTTCTTGGCTTAAAAACAAACTAAGTAATTAAGAAATTGAGAATTTTATTTTATTTTATTTTTATTTTGTTTTGTTTTGTTTTTATTTATTTTTGAGAGAAAGAGAAAGAATAAGCGGGGGAGGGGCAGAGAGCAAGGGAGACACAGAATCCAAAGCAGGCTCCGGGCTCTAGGCTCTGAACTGTCAGCACAAAGCCTGACACGGGCCTCGAATTCATAAACCATTAGGTCATGACCTGAGCTGAGTCGGATGCTCAACTAGCTGAGCCACCCAGGCGCTCCTGAGAATTATTTTATTTTTAAAATAAAATTTATTTTGTTTTATTTTACTTTTTATCTTTAAAAAATATTTATTTACTTTGAAAGAGAGAGTGGGCATGCACATATACACACGCTTGAGTCTGTCAAGGGGAGGAGCAGAGAGAGGAGAGAGGCAATCCCAAACAGGCTCCTCAATGTCAGCATGGAGTTTGATTTGGGGCTTGATCCCATGACCCTGGGGTCATGACCTGAGCCAAAATCAAGAGTTGGATGCTTAACTGACTTGAGCCACCCATGCAACCCAAGAAATTGAGCATTTTAAATGGGAGAATAGAAGTCTAGATTTATCGTTAGTATGTCTTTATTAATTTCATATAGAAAGTGGTAGAAATTCTGCAGATAACATGGAAACTTCTCTCATTTTGTGGCGCAGTTTTCTGTGTAGTGATGAGCATATGCCCTTAGGGAAGATTAAAAGGCTCTTCGGTTGTGTCTGTCACTATGATTGTTATCTGTTATTTCCAAAGCCTTTTTGTAACTGGTTACAAAGTCATTCCTTAGGGATAAAGAAATGAGACTCCTTTGTTCTATCTCTATAAACAGTGTATCCATGGCTGTGGGTCAAATAGTTTACTTTCTTAGGCTAGGCAAGAAAATGATTTTATTGTTGGTTTGATTTGTTACTTCTGAATTCAAGCCCATCATTTGAATTTGAAATTCTTTACTCATTCACTCAAATTAATTGTTAGAGGTATTTAGTGGAGTTGTACATTACTTTATATGTATATATATATAAAGTACTTTACTTTTATATTTACTTTTATATATAAAGTATAAGGTATATAAAGTATTTACTTGTATATATTTTAATTTATGTATATTTTAAATACGTATTTTACAATATATATTTTATTTTGTATATATTTTATATTGTAAAACTCACCATTGCGATATGAATTCCTACTGGGAGATAACTCCTATATTAACTATTTGCATTTAAAGCCTCACAACACCACTGCATTACAAAAAAAAAAGACTATCCTCATTCTATGCTTGCAGAAATCAGTGCTCATAGAGGTTAAGTAACGTGCTCAATGTCTTAAAGTTACAAAGTGGTTAAACTAGACCTTGGATCTGATCCTCTGATTGTAAAGCCTTGAATCTATATATCTGTGCTTCTATATATCTTTCAGCTAAAATTTAAATATTTATTTATTTAGGGGCACCTGCATGGCTCAGTTGGTTGAGTGTCTGACTTCGGCTCAAGTCATCTTCTCACAGTTCGTGAGTTGGAGCCCTACGTTGGGCTCTGCTGACAGCTTGGAGCCTGGAGCCTGCTTCAGAGACACAGAAACTCTAAAAAAAAAATTAAATATTTACCCATTTAATATTTATTTTTGAGAGAGAGAGAGAATGTGCGTGTGAGCTGGGGAGGGGGAGAGAGACAAGGGGACAGAAGATCTGAAGCAGGCTCTGTGCTGACAGCAGAGTGCCTGACTCAGGGCTTGAACTCACAGAACCAAAGTTAGGTGCTTAACTGAGCCATCCAGGCACCCCTAAAATTTAAATATTTAGAGTACATGCTCACAGCTCGTTCTAAATACAGGTTTTTATTTAGGATTCACTTTCATACTGAGTCATTTCTTAAGGGTACTAATAGAGTGAGGAAAGGTGAGTCTAAAACAGTCTACTCTTTTATTTTTGGTTAAAAATATTCTTTCTTTCTAAATATATCTTTTAACATTAGTACGAAGGTGTATGACTGTTAAATATATTCTAGTTCTCTCGTGTTCACAATTTATCTTAAGTGCTTCTGCTTTTTTATAATATCTGTTTTAACATCTTTGCTAATTCCATCATCTATGACTTCTGGGGCTGTTCTGTTGAGTTTTTTCTCCTGGTTATGAGTCATGTTTTCTTTGTGTGTCAAGTAATTTTGATTGCATGCTGTCAATTTTGAATTAGTGCTTATTGCTGCATTTTTGTTAGTTGCTCCTTGAATATTGAATAACATGGGTTTGAGCTGCATGGGTCCACTTACATGTGGATTTTTTCCAATAAGTATATGTACAGTACTGTAAATGCATTTTCCGTATAAATGTCTTTAACTTTATTCTAAGAATATGGCATATAATTTGCAATGTACATAACATGTTAATTGTTATTCATAAGGCTTCTGGTCAACAGTAAGCTATTAGTAGTTACGTTTTTGAGGAGTCAAAAGTTATATGTGGATTTTTGACTGATTGTAGGAGGAGGTGGCATCCTTGTCCTTTGTTGTTCAAGGGTCAACTATATTTCTTTAAAGACTTTTGGACTGGGCCGCCTGGGTGGCTCATTCGGTTAAGCGTCTGACTTCGGCTTAAGTCATGATCTCACAGTTCATGAGATCAAGCCCCGCATCAGGTTCTGTGCTCAGTGTGCAGAGCCTGCTTCGGACTCTGTCTCCCTCTCTCTCTGCTCCTCTCCTGCTGTACTTGCTTGTGCTCGTTCCCTCCCTCCCTCCCTC